GTTCCACCACGTTAGACCTCGAACACGGTTTATTTAGTTTAACAAAGCAGCATTGATGCAATTTTTTTATTTTAGTAAACATTAACAAAAAATACGTTTTCTCACGAATTCATACACATTATCCTTTAACCCTTCAAGAGGTGTGATGTTGTCCTTTTTAGACTTCCTTTGCCAAAAAAATATAAGCAAATTATATTATTTAGCAGCAAAAGCTGGATCTTTTTTTCCATGTCTTTTTACAGCACTTGGTTTCATTACTGCTACGCCACCAAGACCTTGCCACCTGCTGAACGCATATTTGAAAGAATAAATATATATAAACTTGAGTCAAAAAAACTACACAGTTTGAGGGTAGATTCTGAAACCACTATGTCTTTCATTTGTAAAAATTAAACAAATGTAGAGCCCCAATTCAATAACCAACTTTCAACAACACACTACAAAGTAGATTGCTCTTAGGAAGAGCTTGACTATGTAGACCATGTAGTGTATAAGCTATATAAAAAGGTTTTTCTGAGGTTAAAAAAAATAAAGTTTAAGCAAACAATGAAAATTGTATATTCTAGTAGGAGCTAATTGGGAGTCATTTTAGTTGGTAGGTTTATGTGTTTACATGTTTTATCTCAGATGTCTATAGTCAAGCACTAAGTTTAGCAAAAGGATTGATTCTCAAAATATTTCAGGCAATGTGGCTATTAATTGAATCATGAATTTGCATGGCCTCATTGAAAATGAGGGGCTCACACTGATAACCTGTCCAGTGTCCAGTGGAATCTTAAAGGTACACAATAATCACCAGACTAACTACAGCTTATTGAATTTGTTCTGGTGAGTAGAATCATTACCATCGGGCTTTTTGCTGTAAACACTGTCTTTTCAGAGAAAATACAGTGTTTACATTACAGCCTAGTGATAACTTCAGATGGCTGTGTCTCCTCCCTCTGCATGCAGACACTGAACTGTCCTCATAGAGATACATTGATTCAGTTCATCTCTATGAGGAGATGCTGATTGGCCAGGGCTGTGTTTGAATCATGCTGGCTCTGCCCCTGATCTGCTGCCTTGTCAGTCTCAGCCAATCCTATGGGGAAGCACTGTGATTGGATCAGGCTACCACTTCTAAAGATGTCAGCAGACTGCTTGTTTTTTTTTTAGGCGAACAACATGCAGATCTACAGCTTCGGGATTGAATACAGTAAGATGATGCTATATTTATGGAGGTATGAGGGGCCCAGCAGGGCTAGATGGTGATTTTAACACTATAGGGTCAGGAATACATGTTTGTGTTTTCCTGACCCTATAGTGATCCTTTAATTATTTTCTGCCACAAATAACTGTACAATATTTATGATGATACTAATTCTTATTGTGTGAAAGAGATCATGTTGGTCTAAGAAGAATCTGAACATGTTGTACTTAATTTAATCAGATAAGCAAGAGCATCTAACTGAATTGATTTTGCTCAGTAGTAATTGTTAAAAGGGTAGGTAGGCTTAAAAATAGCCAACATTGAGTCTGAAAGTTTTTTTTCAGCAAGCAAAATGTAATATATAGGAGTGATGAATGAGCATTTACAACAAGTGAGGACCTGTGCATGTTTTTTACAGTATTGTTTCATCCACAGCCACTTGAAAACAACTCTATCATATATGACCATAATTGGGCAGCCTGGTTGGCCCAAATACTACATTTTGCTGGTATGTATTTTTTGTGTGTCGTCCAAGGCCAGTTGAGTTTCCGGGACTACTAGCTTAATCACAACTTGTACAGTTCAAAGATAGCTATTATCTCCCTGCCATTGTTGCCAGCTCTACCATGGGGAAATAAGCTCACGAGAATCTCCATTACCAAACATTAAAGTACCATGACAAACAGTGCCATTCACATAAAATAATAACTAAAATAAAATATTGAGATATTGCTCATTCGACTTGTACATGGTGAGAAATTTGGGTTCTGCTGAATCGTTTTATCTAAAGATAGAAAATTTCAGGACATCCAAATTTTGGCCAGTTGATGGTTCAGTGTGGCTGCATGTTGATTTGGAAACTGAAGCAGGAAATTATACCAAATAGGCACAAAAGTGTGCTTCAAAATATATGCATGATATAATATTATGTATATATTTTGCAGTACACTGAAAGGAGCATTTTTAATCCATTTGGTTCACAAATCAAGGGAGAAAAATTAACTCATAGAGGGAAAAAGAGGAAGAGCAGTACAATATCTACATTTATAAATCGATCTGTGAATAAAATCACCCTAGGGATCAGCCATCTCCTTTTTTTCTACCATGGGTGGAATTCAGAATATTGTGTGTGTGTGTGTCCCAACACCCTGGAATATGCATTGTGCTGTATGGTTAATCTGTAATTCAGATACATTTCATCTCAGAATGTGGGAATTCGGCCACCACCCGATCATCCCAAGTTCAGTCCAATTGCTGTTTGGCTGGAAATGATCTCAAGTCTATTGCTCATTGATTTCCATCACAAGATGAAAGGCTGTGTTAACCTTGCCAGAAATATATTGGTGCAGTAACCAACTGAGTTATATCATCAAAACTGGTTTATTTTTCAACTTCACAAACAGCATTGTACATGTGTAACTGATAGCTACCACACATCCATCAGCACAGATTTAATTTTGAAAATTCATGTCTAAATCTCAGTGTTGGCTGCTGTTTCATAAGTACTTTTAAATTACTATTCATGAAAACATAGAAAAATGTAAAGTAATTTATGATAAATATATGTTGTTACAGTAACACTGAATATAATGTCTTATTATGATGGGCCATACATGTTCTTATCATTTATGATGGTGCAGGCAGATATCATGATGATGGATCGAAGATATTATCACGTTGAATGGTAAAGAAGAGCAAGATTTGGAAAATCAAAAAAATATAAAGAATTTTTCTATTGGTGTATGTTTGTTACAAGTATCTGACTACCATGGAGACATAGAACATATAAACCGCCAACAATTGGTGAAAGGAAATTTCACATTTTTGGTCGTAATTAACAAACTGGAAGAAAAAAACACTATGTTATTAGTTTGAAAGGGGATGGTCCACCAGCTGCTTACTTATTACTAATAAGTTGTCTCTGGTGGATCATTTAATTGTAAGGAATCTGGATTGCCCCCTCTCTTGACCCCAATATTCCAAAGGTTCACCTTTATCTAGCACAAGCAAAACACAATATAAAATAGTGTTAACCAACCAACACGCACACAATTATTGATTTTGGTTCTGTGAGGATGAACCGTGCAAAATTCAATTTTGTTTCCTCCCTTTCTTTAGCATACATTATAAAAATCTCTTTGAACACTTTGGATATGTGTAGAAGATAAAAATGTTGCTATCCAAAAGATTGGGATGCTACACTATTCCTTGTATGAATTTGGTGTGGCTGAAGGTGTAGTGAAAGTCTATCTTAGCACATCATCAAAGGGGCCAGTGACCCTACTTCACTGTTAAACCATTTGGAAGTGGGAGGACAACGCAAAGGAACTCCAGACACTATAAACACTTCAATGATATCAAGTGGTTATGGTGCCTGCTGTTTGCCTTTAAAAGCAAGTTTTGAAATCCAAAGATTGGTGTCTTTTTTGCACTTTCAACTTTGTACCTTACTCTAGCACTTTCCTTTTTCCATCCTGAGAAAAAAAATATACTGATTTCCAATCTGTCTCCAACATCATTTATTGTCACTAGTAAAAAAAAATGCAAAATAGCTAATGTATTAGATGAGAAAAACAGAAAGTATGTTAACTTCATATTCTACAAAGCATCAGATAGGAAATTAAAATAAAATATATACATTTTTTTCTAGAGTAGTTAAAGAGAAGCAAATTCAAAAGATTGTGGGGGACATAAGACAAACAATACTGCCTTAGTGACCCACTCTCACATAACTCTGAAGTGTAATTAGCAGCAAACCAGCTTTTGAAGCCAGCATACCAAGATATAAAATTGATGTTTTGGCTTCAGTTTTGACGGAAAGAGCATGAGAATTTGCACTGAGCTATCTCAGTCTTTAACGTTTTGTATAATTTACAGATATCGGTTAAAAACTGTGAAATTATTTTATTGAAATGTCCAAACAAATCCATGTTAGATGAGAAGGTCAACGACGATCATAATATGAAAATTAAACAGAGTCAGATTAGGCATCTTCTTTATTCTAGAGTCAAATTTTTCCAGCATTTTTCTTTTTTTGCATCAAAGAAACAACAAATTGCAGAGCAAGAGCACAACGTGAATAAGAGTTATATTTATTTTTTTAGGTGGGAATGTTTGTAACGAGTTCCCACGTCAATGTTCTTATTGTCAGCAGGCTATGTAGTTCCACAAAAAAAGTATGTTTGTGGCATTAATTGTAACCCAGATATCTTCTCCAAGGTTTAGGATACAAAAATACTGAACGTTTTAAAAAATAAAGTTTGAAAATAAATTCTGAATTATATCTGATCTATCTTCTTCAAAAGTCAAGAAGATAATGCAAGCAGGCCCGGACTGGCCATCGGGCACACCGGGCAAATGCCCGGTGGGCCGCGGTGGCCATGGGCCGAGGCCGGCAGGGAGATAACAGGATCTCTCCTGCCGGTCTTTGCAGGGCCGGCACTATCCAAGCGCCGGCCCTGCTGTAGTCCATGGCGGGCCGGTGGGGAGATCAATGATCTCTCTCATCGGCCTACATGCAGGATATTGCGGCAGCCGGGGGAGAGAGGGAGGGAGCCAGCCTGCCAGCAGAGGAACCCGGAGGAGCTCTAGCTTGCAGCTCCGCTGGGTTCCTCTCGCGAGATTTGGAGCGTTGCCATGGCAACGCTCCGGGTTTCGCGAGAGTGAACTCTAGCCCAACAGGCTAGAGTTCACTCACCACTAGGACCACCAGGGATGGATGGCAGCCCCAGCAGCAGGATCCCCCTCCCAGGCATAAGGTAAGCAGGGAGGGGGGATATAATCACTCAGGTATAATCACAGCAGCCTCACTCACAGATACCCTGCACCCCTAACACTCACAGCACACACACACACACTGCACCCCTAACACTCACAGCACACACACACACTGCACCCCTAACACTAACAGCACACACACACACACTGCACCCCTAACACTCACAGCACACACACACACACACACTGCATCCCTAACACTCACAGCACACACAATGCACCCCTGACACTCACAGCACCCTCACATACACACTGCACCCCTGACACGCACAGCACCCTCACACACACACTGCACCCCTAACACTCACAGTACCCTCACACACATACACTGCACCCCTAACAATCACAGCACACACACACACTGCACCCGTGACACTCACAGCACACACAATGCACCCCTAAGACTCACAGCACCCTCACACACACACTGCACCCCTGACACGCACAGCACACACACACACTGCACCTGACACTCCACAGCACCCATACTTACACACACACTGCACGCCCTGACACTCACAGCACACACTGCACTCCCTGACACTCACACAGCACCCTCACACACACACATAATAAGCCTGACCGCACAGCACACACACACACTGCACCCCACAGGCACTCACAGCACCCTTACACACACACTTGCACTACACGCCCACAGCACGCTCCTACAGTACCCTCCCACACACATACACTTGCCTAACGTCACAGCACACACACACACACTGCACCCCTGACACTCACAGCGCACACACAATGCACCCCTAAGACTCGCAGCACACACACACACACTGCACTCCTGACACTCACAGCACACACACAATGCACCCCTAAGACTCACAGCACACATACACACACTGCACCCCTAACACTCACAGCACACACACACTCACAGCACACACACACACTGCACCCCTGACACACACAGCACACACACAGCACACACACAATGCACCCCTAAGACTCACAGCACCCTCACACACACACTGCACGCCTGACACTCACGGCACCCTCACACACACACTGCACGCCTGACACTCACAGCACACACACAATGCACCCCTAACACTCACAGCACCCTCACACACACACACTGCACCCCTGACACGCACAACACACACACACTGCACCCTCACAGCACACACACAATGCACCGCTAACACTCACACACACACACAATGCACCCCTACACTCCACAGCACACACACAATGCACCCCTAACACTCACAGCACCCTCCACACCCTGCACCCCTGACACCTAGCTTACACCACCCACAATGCACCCCTGACACTCACAGCACACACACACACCCTGACACTCCCAGCACCCTCCCACACACACACACTTTCATGCCTAACACTCACAGCACCCTCACACACACCTGCACTAACAATCACAGCACACACACACACACACACGCACCCCTGACACTCACAGCACACACAATGCACCCTATCACTCCACAGCACCCTCACACATACACCTGCACCCCAACCCATACAGCACCCTGCACACACACTGCCTAAACACTCACGAAAGGTACCCTCACACACATACACTGCACTAACAATCACAGCACACACACACACTGCACCCTGACACTCTGGCTGCATGAAATGCACCCCTGACACTCCCAGCACCCTCACTCACACACACTGAACCCCTGACCCTCACAGCACACACACTGCACCCCTGACACTCACAGCACCCTCACACACACACTGCACGCCTGACACGCACAGCACACACACACACTGCACCCCTGACACTCACAGCACCCTTACACACACACTGCACGCCTGACACTCACAGCACACACACTGCACCCCTGACACTCACAGCACCCTCACACACACACACTGCACGCCTGACACTCACAGCACACAATGCACCCCTAACACTCACAGCACCCTTAAACACACAATGCACCCCTGACACTCACGACACCCTCACACACACACTGCACCCCTGACACTCACAGCACACACACAATGCACCCCTACACTCACAGCACACACACAATGCACCCCTAACACTCTGGCACCCTCACACACACACTGCACCCCTGACACTTACAACACACAAAATGCACCCAGCACTCACAGCACCCTCCACACACACACACTGCACCCCTGACACTCACAGCACCCTCACACACACACTGCACCCCTGACACTCACAACACACACAATGCACCCCTAACACCCACAGCACCCTCACACACACACTGCACCCCTGACACACACATCACACACACACACACTGCACCCCTGACACTCACAGCACCCTCACTCACACACACTGCAACCCTGACACTCACAGCTTCCTCACATGCATACACTGCACCCTCACACACAGCTTCCTCACACGCACATAGCACCCTCACGCAAACACAGCACCCACTCACACACAGCACACACACACTGCACCCATCACACACACAGCACCCTTACCCACATAGCACCCTCACGCAAACACAGCACCTATCACACATACACTGCACCCCTCTCTCACACACACTACACCCCTTACACACACACACACACACACACACACAGAGCACTCTCACACACACTGCGCAATATGCTTTCCTGGCATTTTTGTCTCCTTGTATCCCAACTATGGAGACACCAGAGACAAATTTCAAGCAAACACAGTGCAAGCATGTTATTAAATTTGCTTGCGCTGTGCAGAACAAATAAAGGGTATTTTTCTCATGCCAGAGCTCTTCAGCAGAGCTCTGTGCATGGTCTACCCTGGAAGAGCATTGAACCAACATGCTCACTTTGTGATGGGGCGTGATTGTCATTGGTGATGACAAAACACACCCTTTCTGGCCCTGCCCCTTTTTTAGTGGGCTGCTGTAATTAAAAAATGCCCTGGCCGAATTTTCTTCCCAGTCCGGCTCTGAAAGCAAGCCTAATTTTGGTGAACCAATACCTATTTATTGGGCCTGATCCACCGTCTGATTTTATTTTCTGGTATTCTGCTTTTAGGAACAGAACTGTCCCCAAAAAATGTAGCACAAGTGCTGCATTAGACACACTTGTGCTACACTCAATGCATTAGGACCCTACAGAGAACACTAAAACTCCCTGCATGTCCTGCCCTGCATGGGCTGGCCTGCATCATTGGCAGGTAGTCTGGTATTCATTTACACAAGGCTGACCTGCCAGTCATTTGTGGCCCACCCCCTTTTCTGGGCCCACCAACTTTCTAGACAGGTCTTCCATCTTTAGGCAGAGCCAGGGATTTTTTAAAATCATTTTTCACATCTTTCTTTATCTAGCAATGTAGTGAATAAATACGGATTTCCTCATTTGGTGTCTAGTACCTATATTCATTGAAGTGAAATGCATATAATATGATTAAACTCAGTCAACCTCTGTACGTTTCAGAATTACATCTACTAATTTTGAGAGTAATATGAAATTATTAGGAATTTGATCACGAAGGAATGAAAGGAACTTGTTTTGATTGTTTATATTGTTTTTATTTTATACCTCAACCACTGCTGCTACTGTCTTTGTCTCGTGGCTGGGAAAGTGATCCTTCAGCCTGGTGAAATATTACTTTCTGTAATAAGAGGAATATTTAATCTTCTTCTCATAATGTTCTTTATACTACCATGATATATACTGAGAGATTTAGATCGGCAGAATTTTAACTGGTTTGATTTCATTTTGGACTTAAATCGAGCTTCGACCAAAATTCTTCATAACCGAAAAATGTCAAAAGTCCTAACTGTGTTAATACAGAAGAGACTATTTTTTTTTTTATAGAATCAAAATTTTGAATGAACAGAAAAATTCCAAAAATCAGAACCATATCAATTTAGAAGAACCAAAAATTTTATCTGTGAACAAGTCTAATACATTGCTTAAGATTAAAGTATGCAATAAATATAATTTAATAAATGAAATTGCAGATAGTCATGCGTTTTACACAGGCCACCTTATTACTGCAGAATTCACATTTGTTTTTATATATAATTTACCTTTAGTCCTAAACTTGCTCTTAAGTGCTTTTGCGTTAATACAAACCTTTTTTTTTTTTTTACTTATTTAGGACTATAATGCTAATATATTGATAACATAACTCTTATGAGTGATGTTATGCATTGTTGTTTATCAGCCTTGCTACGATGCATATTTCTTTCAAAATCAAACTGTACAGAGTAACAGTGTTATGTTTTCATCTTAAGACATGTAAAAAAAATAAAAATAAGAAAGCTTTGTTTATGTAACTTAGCTCCACTTTTGTGCAACACAGCAAAGACATTTTTTCTACACAAAACAGACAGTGTGGTTTTCTCTTTAACTTTTTGCTACCCCAATTGTATTCTGAGAAAAATGAAAATCTGTCTTCATGGTGTTTGTAGCAAACCACGTAATTGCTTAAATCCGACTCTGCCAAGTTAAAAATAAAAACACAAATCTTTAGCTTAGCTCTAGTTAACTCTTGTTTGACCAAATCTTGATTTTAAATAGTGGAATACCTATGAAAATTACAGAATTCCAAAGAATATTGAATACAAGTATACATGTAATAGTAGGTCTTATCAAGGTTGATACATGGGAAACAAATCAGGTACTGCACAAGCGAATGGCTCCTACTCCATGCTCCATTCTATGTTCCATGGGGCAGATATAAAGGATAGGGACCAGCTAATGGCCTTTGGTGATGAGTGGAGGGTAATGGTTTCCTAATACTACCAAAACCAAGGGATGTGCAGTCTAATCATCCTGTCCTATTGTGTTTTATACCCCACCTCCTATAGACTGTAAGCTCATATGAGCGGGGTCCTCTTCAACCTATCGTTTCTGTAAGTTTTTTGTTATTGTCCTTTTTAGTTAAATCTCTCTTCCCCCCCTCTTATAATATTGTAAAGTGCTACGGAATCTGGTGGTGCTATATAAATGGCAATAATAATAATACTTATAGTATCATACTGGGCATCCTCTGTTTCTATTTTGAATAGAGGAGATAGGGATTTGTTTTTTTAGAGTCAGAGGGGTTGACAGGAGTTGGCCTCATTAAAAAAAAGGTTTTAATTTACCTTTACTCTAGCAGCAACTAGAGGAACATTGTAAATGGATGTACATGCGCGGCAAGTGCCATGCATGCATCCTAATGCTTTATATAAAGAAACATTTAATTCAATGATTTTCTGTTAGTTTCCATTTCACATGACCTAGTTTTATTCGGTCAGTGCACCAAAAGTGCCTCTAGTGGCTGTCAGTAAAACAGACACTAAAGGTGGATTTAACCCTGCAATCTAAACATAGCAGTGTGGCGAACAGAACCTTGCCACTCATTATTTCGTATCATGGTACAGCAGAAAATACATGTAAAGAAATACAGAAAAATACAATATAGTGCAGATGGTATATAAAGTGGCAATGCAATAATAATGATGGAATCTTAATGGCTGGTGCACTCACATTCCAAGGAGCCTGTATATGGAAACACTGGCTCCGTATCAAGGCTTGTGTGCTTATAATGGTAGCACCACCCTTCTACTTCGATTTGGAGTGATTCTCAAAGACAAAAAACAGAGGGAGAGCGAACCAATGTGTAGATTGCGGTCATAAAAGCACACATATATATTAATAAATGTGGTGCTCACCTGGTCCTGAGCCTGTGGGTCCTGGCTCTAGGTTTGTAAACTTTGTGCCAATTTAAATGGGGATGGCACTACCCCTATGAAGATTCTCTTGAAGAAGCTCTATTTGAGAGTGAAACACGTATTGGCCATTTTTTTATTGAGGACTTTTTTAAACTATTTGTTTTATACATTTTTTATATATGATATATTAATAAATTTATTACTTCCTTTTTATATCTTATATCATATCTTAAGTCCTTTTTTGGAGCCTCCAAGAGAATCTTCATAGGGGTAGTTCCATCCCCATTTAAATTGGCACAAAGTTTACAAACCTAGAGCCAGGACCCACAGGCTCAGGACCAGGTGAGCACCACATTTATTAATATATATGTGTGCTTTTATGACTGCAATCTACACATTGGTTCGCTCTCCCTCTGTTTTTTGTCTTTGAGAATCACTCCAAATCGAAGTAGAAGGGTGGTGCTACCATTATAAGCACACAAGCCTTGATACGGAGCCAGTGTTTCCATATACAGGCTCCTTGGAATGTGAGTGCACCAGCCATTAAGATTCCATCATTATTATTGCATTGCCACTTTATATACCATCTGCACTATATTGTATTTTTGTGTATTTCTTTACATGTATTTTCTACTGTACCATTATACGAAATAACGTTTGGTAAGCTATATATGTGTTTGAGCGCTCCACTTATAGGTGTAAGTCTCTGTTACTTACACCGTACTTAAATCTATTATTTTGTCTAGTGGGATAGAGGATATTTCCACACAAGTGTATAGAGAATTCAGATGTAATTCTGAAACGTACAGAGTTTGACTGAGTTTAATCATATTATATGCATTTCACTTCAATGAATATAGGTACTAGACACCAAATGAGGAAATCCGTATTTATTCACTACATTGCTAGATAAAGAAAGATGTGAAAAATGATTTTAAAAAATCCCACTTTGTAAAGCACTTTGTTACACACATCCCTCCGTAAAAAGAGGCGAACTTTGATTGGTATTCATAGAACCTTGCCACTGGCTCCTGGAAGAGCCTGCTTTCCAGCCTCCTGCCTCAGGACTATGGGCCCTGCAATATACCTTGCCCAATGCACTCTAAAAAGCTCTGTTAATGTGATTTATGTACTTGTGTACTCCAGAAAGAGAGACTGACTGTTAGCCCTGATTCCCTGGAACTGTTTTGGGCATAGGATCATGTGCACGGTCGGTCAAAATTATGACTTCCATGGAAATCCCGAACCCCTGAACTGATTTGGGTGATTTTTGGATATGTTGGTCCCCCAGATAGGTGCTATCAGGGGATGTGACTTCTGTGTGGTTTCCATGTGTTTTGGAGGTACTTTTGGGATGTTGTTAAAATGTATGTTTTCTGTGCCTGGAGATAATTGAATTTAGTACAGTTCCGGAGTCAATTATCTCTCAGGCACAGGGGAGGGATTACCTGTTTTGTGTGGGAGTGTCCTGGACCTGAGAGCCAGTGTAATTATGTGTATGTTTTACTGTAGTCTCCTATCAGGTCCAGAGAGGAATGCCGCTGAAATATTTATCCGGAAACCCCTGCATGGAGAGTTGCATATATGGCTGCATGTGGCTCCCATTAAACCAGTTCCTCTTCACCCTTAACATAGAGCCTTGTCTTATGTGTGTAGGGAACAGCTATATTCACTCTGGGGATTGCTATACTCATTATATTCCCTTGGATTATAATCACTAGCTCTAGT